ATTTGAATCGGCGGCAGGGGGCGGGGCGAGGGAGAGGCCACGCCCCCGACCCCCGAGGCCACGCCCCCGGCGCCCCGTGGGAGCACCGGCGTGCGCGGAGGCGCGTGTGAGGATGCACACGCGTGTTTGTGTACACCCAGCCGCACACGTGTGCACACGCGTGTGTGTATGCCCAGCTGCACATGCATGTCTGTGCAAGCAGGGGCCATGGGAGGCAGGAACACGGGTGTGTGTGGGCACACGGGAACTCGGGGGCAGGCAGGGAGCGTGTGCACGTGTTRGAAAGGGGCATTCGGGCGGCTTGTGTGCACATGCATGTGTGCACACCTGCACTGCCCATGTATCCAGGGAACTCACGCATGTGTGTGTAGGTCTGCACACCTGCATGTGCCTGGGGGGCTAACACACACCCGGGTCCTCACACACATGGGGAGCCCATCACGCTGCTCCCCTCACCAAACTGCCTGGTTTTGACTGCCCATAGGGCTCTGGGACAGCCCCTCTGCATGGACACAGGCGAGGATGCTGCAGCAAGGAGAGGTTTAACGTGTTTATTGGAACGCGGCCCCGCAAGCGCCCGCAAGGCCCCGTGGCCCCGCACGCTCCCGCCGTCATGTGAGGGCCGTGTTTGCACCTTCTCCAGCTGAGCCCCGGCGGAGACTCTGCCCTGGTCCGAACAGCAGCCAAAGTTCACCCGAAAAACGCAACCCAGCACATTTCCAGGCCGGGGACAGCCCATGTGCCTGCGGCGCCCTGGCCGTGGAGCCGGTGCTGCTGCTGACCCCATCAGCACTGCAGCAATAGCAGCCTTTCCGCCCCGTCCTGCGGCATCATGCGGGCGCAGGCTCCGGCGGGCCGGCACCGCGGCTCCTCCTGCTCTCCGGGCTGCGGCGCCGAGCGCGTGGCACGCACGGGTCCGGCCCGCGGCGGCACCCGGCGCGCTCAGCGGTGCACGGCGTAGCAGTGGGTGCAGACGCGCACGGGCCGCGGCTGCCCGAAGTGCGGCAGGGCGGCCGTGTGCGGCGAGCAGCGGGCGCAGAAGATCTGCGGGGAGGGCAGCGGTGAGCGGCTGCCCCCGCACGCAGCCRCCGCCGCCTCCCTGCCGCGGGCCCCGTGCCCCTACCTTGCCGCAGCTGCGGCAGTGGTGCCGGCGGCGCAGCAGCGTGAAGGGCGCGCGGCACGCGGAGCACTGGCTGCAGCTGCTGTCTGGCACCCACTCGGGCAGCCTGCGGACGCCTGGGGGCGAGAGAACCGCTGCAGGGGCTGCCCGGTGCCCCAGCGGCCGAGCGCGCGGCCCAGCCACCCTGTGGAGGCAGCAGGGCCCGGGTGACTCTTACCTGCRCGGCAGAGCCCGGCCGTCTCGGTGGTGCTGGAGCAGAGGGGGCACTCGGCCAGGCGGGATGTGGCGGTGGTGCGCGCCTCACCGCCCTCCTCCTCTGTAAGGGCCATGGTGCCTTCAGCCGCGTGGCCACGACCGGCTGCAGCCCTGCGGCACCCGCTGTGCCCCCGCCGGCCCCRCTGCCCCGCGCCAGCCCCCGCGGCRACTCACGGCTGCTGCCCGGCTCCTCCTCCGGCTCCGGCTGCGAGGCGACGATTTTGAAGACAGTTTTCAAGATGCTCCGCAGGTCGCTGGCGAAGTTGGTCTGGAGCTGGTCGGCCACCCCTGCGCAGGCAGAGAGCGGGGGTCAGCGCCCCGGTGTGCCCGGCGCGTCCCCGGGGAGCGGGGCGAGCGCTCACCTGAGATGCACACGAAGAGGGTGTGCAGCATGTCCCTGGTGCTGCCGTAGCGGGAGCGCAGCTCYGAGCAGCGGGCGCCTTGCAGGGCGCCGGGCTGTGGCCGCGGGCTGCTGCTTGGGGAGGAGGCRATGGTTGGACACCGAGCCGGGCAGCGGGCCCGGCCACTCGTGCTGGCGCTGCGGATGTCCTGGTACCCAGCGCCCGCCGCCGCGGCCCCGCGCATGCCGCACGTGCCTGTCCGTGCCCAGGTCTCCCGGCCCCGCCGGGCAGACGGGGGCTGACAGAGCGGCAGGAGGAGCCTCTGGGAGGCCCCAGGGCGCAGGCGGCTCCACCTTCGTGGCCGGTGCCCCCCATGCTGGGGCTGCAGCTGGAGTGCAGGGGTCCTGCAGCTCGGCCGTGCACAGGCTCCTCTCCAGCAGGGCCAGCTCGTCCACGGACAGCACCCGCAGCAGGTCCCTGCAGCAAGGGCAGCGCGTCAGGGCCGAGCCCCCAGGCCACAGCCCAGCCCTGAACCTCCCCCCAGCTCCTCTTACCTGATTTTCTTCAGGAGGTTGTAGAAGGGGCTGAAGACCCGGGACATCTGCTCCGGGCTCTGCTCCAGGCTGAGAGGCCCCTCGGGGTAGATGAGGAGCCCACTGCAAGGACCCATGGTCAGTGTGTGCCCGGCTGGGCTGACCATGGTGAGGGCAGCACCCAGCACCCAGACACCCCCCCAGGTGCCCCTTCTGGCCCTGGGCGCTGCACCTACCTGATGATGGCCAGGCGAGGGATGGTGAACATCAGCAGGGGCTCGTAGCCATCGATCATCTCCTGCGTCAGGTAGCCCAGGCGCAGGGCCCTGCCGAGGGGACGGCCTCAGCGCGGGGCTGCCAGGCACAGGGCACCCTGCCCTGCGGGAGCTGCGCCCCGGCGCAGCCCTCACCTCTCCACAGTCTCGCAGAAGAGCACGATGATCTCCTGCTGCCGGTAGATCTCTTCGGGGGACTTCACCGCCACCAAGGAGGACACGTAGCTGCAAGGGACTGGTGGTGAGAGCCCCGCTGCCACAGCRCGCTGCCCATGCCCACCTCCCGCTGCAGCACCCACCTCAGCTCGAACTCGGCAAAGAGGCGGTCAAACTGCACCAGCACGGCCCGCACGGCCTCCGAGTAGCTGCTGGGCTGGCTGAGGCTCTGCTCCCGCAGCACCGTGCGCACCAGCTCCAGGCTGCACAGCAGCTTCCTGGCCTGGGGCCGCAGCTGGACGCCGTCCGGCTCCTCCAGCTCCATGAAGGTGCCCGCCAGGAGACACTGCAAGAGCAGGGCGGGTCGGGCCGGGGCAGTGCGGCCAGGACCCCGCGGGGGCTCCAGGATGGCTACGGGGGGTGCAGAGCTGGCACATGGCCCCATTTAGTCCTCCTGAGGACAGGCCTGGCACCCACCGTGGCCCCTGCCCAGCCAGGGCACCTCCCGCTCGCCCAGGGCTCACCTCAGCCGCAAAGAGCATGTGGTTGCCCAGGTTGTCCACCAAGAGCTCCTCGGGGAACTTGACGAGGTAGTCGCGGCTGTGCCGCTGCGTGGGGATGCACTCCTCCATGATGCGCTCGATGACGGCCAGCAGGTGAGACTGGGCAGGAGCAGGGACCGTCACGCGCGGCCACCGCGGTGCAGGGCGCAGGGCGGCAGCCCGGGCACCGGGCAGGCCCTACCTGGCTGAGGTGCAGCTGGTTCAGGAGCACCAGGTACTGCTGCGGGTCCATCTCGGCATCCAGCCCGTTGATCTCCGCCACCACCCGCGACACYCTCTCGTCGGCGTAGAAGAACTGCGAGAGCAGCCGCGGGTCCGAGCGCTGCGGGGAGAGCGGCTGGACATGATCCATGAGGTGGCCGAGGGCGCGCGGAGCCCAGGGACAGCCCACATGGGCAGCCAGCACTGGGGACGGCTGCAGAGAAGCTCTGCGCCCGCTCCCCTTCATCCCTGCCCTGTGCAGCTCCCGGGAGCAGGGGAACCCATGCAGCAAACCAGCCCTCCCCGTTCTCCCAGGCACCCAGGGCGGGCGGGCGGCCGTGCACACCCCCAGGGCAGGGCAGGCGGGCGGGCCTGGCAGGCCGGAGGCCAGGCAGCTCCCGCCCTGCACGGCGCCTCCCGGCGCGCACGGCACCACCGGGGCCGCCCGGCACGCGGGCATGGGGCTGGGCATGCGGGACCGAGCCCTAGTATGGGCTCCTGCCACAGCCCCGCCGGCGCCTCCCTCCGCACCCATCCCTGCCTCAGTTTCCCCAAGGGCAGAGCAGGATCAGCAAGCTCGCCTGCGTCCCGGGAGCTTGGGCAAGGATCCGTACGGGGCTGTAAACACCGGATCAGGTGAAAGGGCTGCAGGAAGCTTTTTCCCAGGCTGCAGGGAGCAGGACACCAGGAAATGAGCTTATTGCCCAATTGCTTCCCTGTCCCTTTCCCAGACCAAGTGGGCTGGCGAAAGGGCAGGGTCACCAGGGTCTCGAGGCACAGACAGCACCCACAACATGGAGTGCTTGCCGAGAAAGCCCTGCAGCCTGAGCCCGGTGGGCCCCGCTCGCTCCCGGCGCAGCCGAGCGCAGCCGGGCCCGGGCGGTGCCGGCCTCCGAGCTGCCCGGTCCTGTCCGGCGCCCCGCGGCGCAGCCCCCGCCACACCTTGAGTCACGGGCCAGGCTTGCGGATCGGCTGGCACCACTTCCTCCTCGCAACACACCCGGCTCGGCGGGTGCTGCCAGCCCTGCCAGGCAGGGCACCCATCTGCGCCCCCGTGGCCCTGGGGCAGCGCCGGCATCGCTGCCAGGCGCCTGGTGGGCACTGCTGCCACAGGCAGGCCCAGCCAGCCCTGGCCCTGGGCAAGGCGCCCTCGGCTGCTCCCAGTGTCCCCAGGCTGCTGCCGCTGACCGAGGGGACTYCCCGCCCGGGGCGCCCTGCGGGAGCAGCCCTGGGGCCGTGTCCCAGCACGACGCCGCCAGCCCTGCTGTCCCAGCAGCCCCCTCGGGGGTGCCCGGTGAGTCCCGGTGCCCGGAGGAGCAGGCGGCCGCCGCGACCCCCTCCCCGGGCAGCCCCGACGGGGCGGGCGGCCTTCCCGGGGCAGCCTCCGCCGCTCTCACCTTGGGCCGGTGCAGCCACCTCCGGAGGGCGGCGGGCAGCATGGCGGGACCGGGAGCTCTCGCTGCCGCCCGGSTCCCCGCGCCCGCCGCTCGCCGACGGGGCGGGCCGGCACCGGGCACCGCCTGGRGGCGGACCGGGGTGGTGTCTGCCCGCCCTCGGGCACGGCCCCCCCTTCCCAAAACGGGATCCCCTCCTCCCCGGGGCCGAGGTGCGGTCGCCACCCGACGGACCGGTTTGCCGGCGGGCTCGCGGGTGAGGGCGGTTCCGCTTCGGGACGGGCAGCGTCGCCCCGCCGGCAGCGCCGGCTCCCCCTCCCGGTGCCCCGCAGCCCTCGCAGCCCCCGCCGTGCGGCGACGGCGACACCCCAGGGCGCGGGGACGACAGGCGGCAGCTCCCGCTCCGCGGCGGCGGGGCGGGCCGGTAACTCGGACGGATGAAGCCCCCGTCGGGCCAGTTCACGGGCGAGCAGAAGCTGCGGTCGGGGCCGCCGAGCCCGGGGAGCGGCCGGGCGCCGAGGGCAGCCCCGAGGGGAGCGCCGGGGCCGCGGCGGCAGGGAGCGGGCGGCGGCGCCTCGGTCTGTGGCTGCGTCTCGGCGCGGGGCAGAGCAGCGAGCGCACGAGGGGCGGCGCGGCCGGAGCGACCACTCA